GGCCAGTTAGCCTTCCTTCCGTATGGAGATGGACTCTGCAGGTGCGTTCTGGGCTGTCGACGCCATAGTACTGATCGAGCATGGATGGCCTTACACTCTGGTGGTCGGGTTGCACTTGTACCATCTATCTTGTCGAGCATTGAACAGTTTCCTCAAGTTGGCTATCTAGAAACGCCATTTTCCGCTTGTTCTTTTGTCAGCTACTATTCGGTACGCCCTTTGTGCTGCCGTGAAAAAAGAGTTAGTTGTGGTTCTGCTACCTTATCTTGTTTTGAGATCTAGATCCTGTTGGAACCTAGTTTGTGTGTTGTTTCTCAACTCCTTTTGTTCAGTTATGTATCTCATACTTTCAAGTTCAACTTATATTGATAATTGAATCCTGCACCTGGCCAGTTGCAGTTCTTCCATTTACAATCAGAATAGGCGATGCACATGGCAGAAGAGAAATGCGCGGATAGTCATAATTCATCTGTTGTCTACAACAAGAGCATGTTAAAAGAACAGGAACTGCGTTGGACATAGAAACACAACTTCAACAAGAGCAAAATCCACAAGCGGCGGCAGTAAATGGAAAGCAAGTAAAGATGATGCAACAATGAATAGAAAATAAAGGTATTTCAACGACCGCTATCAGTTTGCAGTTTGCACAGTGATTAATTTGTAACCACATCAGTTTGACACATTCAGCTGGTACTGATGGCATTCCACATATTCAGTTTAAACTGATGTATGTCTCAAGACATAGCCATCCAGGCAGCAACAACTAAAACGAAAATTGCAGTGGAGCACCCTTGTTTCTATCATATCCTTACATGAACAAGAACAGTACGACCCAAGTAATAAGAAGGTTGTAAACCTGTACATGGGGAAATGTTAGGACATTGCAATTTCATCACGTAGATCTGGATCTGTCATGGGCAAGGCCATAACAATAGGTTCTGGCATTAGGATCAGTTGGGGAGCTAATATATTGCTGTGGCATCAGCAATAGGTTGTTTACTACTCCCTCCAACCACAACAAGAATTATGGAATGGAGGGAGTAGTATATTAGGTACCTTGCATTCAAGCAACCATTTAAGTTGTCTCTTGCTCCTACCGTGGCTTTGGGGCATCCTGAAGCTTTTCTCACCAAACAAGGAAAGAAAGCAGAGCCACCATCTGCTCTACAGTAGAATCTTTCAAAGTACCACTGAACATAAGCTCAATCAATGCCAGTTCATCAGGAGCTAATCTCACATGGCACTTTGCCCTTCACTTCGAGAACATCATCACTGGTGACATATCTGAAAGAAATAAGATACCCCGATAAGAATTTGTGAAACACAAAACGTTGGAACTAAAGCAACAGACAAATTCTTTAAATTCACACAGGAAACGGGCAACATTGGCTTTCATGTAATCACAATGCAACAACATTGCAATTTACAATGAGTATCTGTTAGATACATTTATAAGTTTCACACGATAAAATAGTTGTGTCATCCGATTGTTTTCATTAGGTCCCCGCACAGAAAGATCATAAATTTGTTCTCCTGCAAATATCCCTGCAAGGAATACTACCTAAGAATCCATGATGTGCAGTACAGAACAGCAAGGGCTTTGCTGTCAAAAACATCAGACTGTTATATTACCTACTTCGCTCACTATTCCCTAACAAGAAAGTTCCCTTTGCAAGTTTCTAAGGAGCAAGCACCCGAAGACTAACATAATTTTGGATGTCCTATCCCATCCTACGAAGAACTCATTCTTGAAAGCTAGAGCAGTACAAACTAACTGCAATACGGAATAAGTATCTCCACACACACACACACACACACGCGCGCGCGCGCACGCACGCACGCACGCGCGCACACACACACACACACACACACACACACACACATATATATTACAAACTAACTGCTTACTGAAGTTGTCACATGCCCATATTGCTAGCTGACCATCAGCTCCATTGGCCACCCGCCCCGTGACAAGCTCCAGCAGCACCACACTGAAGTTGTACGTGTCTACTTTCTCCGTCAGCTGGCTTGCCGCCCTCCCATATTCTGCAAATAAGCAATTATATGGCTAGTTAGTAAATGATCATGCTAGTTATAAGAAGGAATTTCATTGCAACCATAGATCACCCACCATACCTGGAGTTGTGTATCCAAAGTTACCAAATACAAACCCTGCGATAGAAAATGGTTGGTTGAGCCCGGCCATGTTCATCTGTGCAGCACCAAAACTGGCGATCTTGGCATTAAACTCCTGATCAAGCAAGATGCTATTAGATGTGATGTTGTGGTGGAAAATAGGTCTATTGCATCCATGGTGTAAGTGGCAGAGCCCTGGTCCACACCAATGGCGATGGCCTTCCTCTGCGGCCAGCTCAGCAGTGGGTCTCCCTCCTCCCGTCGGTGCAGCCAGTGGTCAAGGCTGCCATTCACCTCGTACCTGTAAACGAGCATCATCGCGTCTTCCCTCTGGATGAATTGTAGGACGCTGACGATGTTGTCGTGACAGATGCTGGCTAACAGGATCATCTCCGACTTGAAGCGGTTCTCCAGATTACCGTCCACTATTCCATCCACACTCTGGAACTTGTTGACGACCAGCGTAACTGGGAGACCGATGCCAGCAGTGCCCTAACATGGATTAAGTACAGTTGCTCGTCCTCCACTATCCTTCTGCTAGCCCACATGCTTCTCTGATTAGTTTCGGTAAGGTGGTTCACTATGCTTTGATCATTGAGCACAGTAGGTAGCGTTGCCGCAGGATAGCTGATGCGCCGGAGCCGGCGCGGTACAACCATTTTGAGCGACCGGGTAGCATGCGAAGAGGTAGGATGTATCAACCTGCAAAAGGATTATTTATTAACATTCAATAGTACTCCCTCTTTCTGCAAAGATATATATACATTAATAATTATTGAAAGATAAAGAGAGATGCCCGTTCATAATTAGTTTGAGACCAAAGAAGTACAGTGATTAATTTGGAAGCAAAATGCTTATTTTTGCGGGTAAATTTGAAAGCCACAACAAAGATCGGTGAATCTGAAGAAGTTATGTGCCTTCTCAAAGAGTTCAGGGTATTCTTTCAGTTAAGACCATCAGAAGTTGCTATTTTTGGTGGTGCACAGTTCATTTTGCATGGTTTTCTGCGCAGTCACAGAGGTCAATTGGGTTGGCCCGTTGGGCACATGGCCGACCCGAACACTAGGGACGGACAATCCGACCCAAACAGAGAAAAAGCGGACAAAACGCGTTTCCATTTGGATCGGCGTGTTGGAGTTGCTCTGAGGTCATCCGGTGAGTACGAGGATGGAGATGGAGATGGAGATGGCGCGCATGCAGAGGCATTTCCCAGGGCCGGTGTCGCTCGCGCGGTGGAGCATTGGGAGGCGCCGGCCGGTGACTACTTCGGTAAGTGCGGTACTACTATACAATCTGTACTGCTGCCGGACAGCCGGGCTACGAATATAGGCATAAACGGAATAGTGGCAGTGGGTAATAATAGAAATAAACAAATTTTCACACCTTTTTTGTTGTTTGTGAGCCATTTAGGCTCCTCTTGCGGCACTCATGGCCGACTAGTTCTAGCAATTTCATTTGCACATTGATCAATGGTAGCTGTAATCGACGAAATCTGGATGCCATGCCTATGATATTAGTCTGACTAATAACAAAGCACGAACCGAGGTACACTCCATTCTCCTTGCCTCTACAGAAAGGGAAGAGGCAAGGAGGGAGTAGTTCTGAGAAGTAAATTACGTTTGTGCTCAATGGTAGATTAAACTAGAAATTGTTTTTCACTAATTAATATGGAATGGGTAAAAAACATCTATCCCGGCCTGGCTTGAAGATTGGTGCTGAATCATGTACATATCAAGCAAATGTTTGTAGAACTTGTTATTTTGATTGTTCCATTTGTTATCATTCATTTCAATTACCATTGTATTTCCAGAAATCGTCAATTTGATATTCATTTGACAATTAATAAATAAAAACTTGGAAGCTACTGCAATTACTCGTGTGTGTTTGACATGAAAAAAATGAGCAACTTTGACTTGATTATCTTTTACACCATTTGTTGTTGATGATTTGGGATTGTATTAATTGCACTTAGTCCATTGTTGTTACACATCATGTTCAAGCGGATGACTTTCGCATGTGTAAATTCAACTAAATAAAATAATCTAGGTAATTGTTCAACAAAAATTAGGACGCTCTTTGCGCCATGTGAGCATAAAGCCCTTGATTATATTATAAAATTATTGCTTACTCCCTAGCACATATGAACCATGAAATAAACAAAAAACTAGTTCTATCAAAGATAGATGAAGATAGATAGACATGTGGTAGTGGTGGATAGATTCTCAAACATTCAACCGTCTAGCACACTAGCCCTGGTAAACTACATATAAAAGGTTAAAAAAATCAAGAAAATGCAAAAGACCTTTGCGTTTCATTGCATTGAAAGGATGGGCAAAAGTTACAGTCCTCCTAGGAGGTCCGTGTTACAGTACATCATACAACTCGGTGGACATTCCAGGATTGGTTCAGAACAACCCGCAGGCCTTGCGCCCCTGCCTTAACCCAACATCGGATCTCATCCTTGATCTTGTTGAGGAGCCCAGCGACAGAAGGCATCACATTGTCAAAGATGCATTCAATGTTTTGATAATTTAGCTAGACATAGCGTCTATCACTGATTTGATGTCATTGGCGCTATTCTTGGCATCTGCTACAATACCAGCCAGTCCTCTCCTTCCTAACCCAGCACAGTAGAGCCCATTTCCCCCTTTCCAGTGATTCGGATATTCTTTGATGGGTAGTCCATTACCATTTAACATGTTCTCACCATTCTAGGGTAAAAAAAGAACATAGGGCTTGTTAGCATATTTAAAAATTGTTGCACCAAGAAAACAAACTCGAGCATATTCAAACATCGACATTGTTACCTTGAGCCATATATTTGTTGTGCTTTTGTAGCTAGTTGCAAACACAATAGCGTCAAATTATATTTTGTTACTGCACTGAAATTCAACTATATCACCCATGATCTTACTAATACTCCCCTGTACCTGTAGGAGGTGAATAGAATATTGCTAACTTGGCATATGAAGACAACATCTGTTATGAAATTTATGTCATGTCAAGTATATACTTACTTTGATGATACCTTTTTTGATTAACCCAACAGTGCCAACATCAATAACGACGGATCGGCCGGTTTCTGACTTGAGGATCATTGGACCCATTTTTGGCCTTCTGATGCCATGCATCAGAAGGTCTCCAAATATTAAATTTGCCTCCATCACAAGGAGGTTAGCCACTAGATTCAGTGGAAGACGGGGAGAAAGTGTCATCCCCAATCGGATTAATTCCATTGTCATTACATGAATCTGTAGCCATAAAACATGTCACATCTCTTTTGAAGCCTGCATCATAAAATAAAATTTCATAGAATCATCTTCTTTCAAGAGTTATTTTTTTGGTGTAGTTCATCTAATTGTTTAGTTGTTTGTGCATGTTATAAAATAGTCTATCTATCTATACCATGAAATACTTTCTAGTAATACCTTTGAAAAATTGCATCCTTCTAGTGGTGACTATAATAAGAAATTGCCATGTACCCATTGAAAATATATACTGCCCGTATAGGGTGGGGGTGGGGGGATCCCTTTGTGTTTCTAGGTCAAAAAAATAATATATAGTGCGTGTACATACCGGGCTTCGTATAACGATTGAAGTATAGGCACCATGGGCCGCAAGGTCATAAGCAATTTCCATTCCAGAGTTTCCAGATCCGACGACCAATACATTCATCCCAGAGTAGTTCTTCCCTGACTTGTAGCTTGAGGAGTGGATGACATCACCCGGAAAACTTTGTAGTCCGGGGATCATTGGAATATCCTCTGCACTATTCGCACCACTTGCCACGACAAGAAACTTTGCAGTGAACCTGACTATTGTGCTCTTTGCCATGTCATGTGCCACGATGGACCAACATTTTTCGTCATTGTCAAATGTGGATGACTCCACACTAGTGAGGTACTTGGGTTGAATATTGAAACGCTCAACATAGTCATCCAAGTACTTCACAAACAAGGTTCTTGGTATGTATGTTGGCGCATCTAGTGTGTATGACATGTGTGGCAACTCACAGAACTCCTTTGCAAGATGCAGCTTGAGGCGATCGTAGGCGTGGTTGCGCCAAAGCGACACGCTGCAACTTTCACGCTCGACAATGACATAGGGAATTGATAATTGGCTAAGGCATGCTGCTATTGCAAGGGCCGCTGGCCCAACGCCAATAATCAACACTACAACATTCTCCATTTCAAAGAGAAGAGTTGATAAATTTGTGGGATGGGTGCAATGGTGGCTGGAGTATTTGGTTGTTTGCTCGATGAATCTTTGGATGCATATGTGGGCATACATATACTGGTATGTTTCATGTGTCAATCTATTTAGAATGAGGAATGAAAAAGGTAAAGATTTATTGACGCCTTATCCTGGTGTGTACTAGTATTCCATCTAAATATTGAACCGTTGGTGTGAAAGCATGTCCTGATACATTATAGGGGATGTAGAATAGGCAGGAAACACACTCTTGATCGACTGTTTTTTTGGAAACTTATCAACCGGCTTTGGATATGTTTAGACTAAAATCTCTTCAGAATTTCTTTCCATTCATGTTGTCATCAATGAAATTCATATAGGATAAGGATATGTCCAGTATATACTCCCTCCGTCCGAATTACTTGTCATAGAAATGAATGTATCTAGACGTATTTTTAGTTCTAGATACATCAATTTCTATCCCTTTTCAGGACTAATTCGGGACCGGGGAGTGCTTGTATGCTAATTAAGAGTCAAGAAAGATTGTTAGAGTTTCTTTCCTTTTCTGTGTATTATGCAAGCATTTCTTTCCTTTCCCTATACTTGTAAACTGACAGCCTTCCTTCTGTATGGAGATGAACTGTGCAGGTGTCTTCTGGGCTGTTGACGCCAATGTGCTGATCGAGCATGGATGGCCTTACACTGTGGTTGTCGGGTTGCACTTATACCACATGTCTTGTCGAGCATTGAACAGTTTCCTCAAGTTGACTATCTAGAAACTCCATCCGCAACAAAGCATGTTTTGAACTTAAGCTCCTCGGGTCGTTGTCAGCACGGTAGATTTGTTCCGCTTGTTCTTTTGTCAGCTGCTATTTGGCACGCCCTTTGTGCTGCGGGGAAAAAAAGAGTTAGTGTGGTTCTGCTAGCTCATCTTGTTTTGACATCTTTCATTTACAATCAGAATAGGCGATGCGCATGTCAGAAGAGTAATGTGTGGACAGTCAGAATTCATCTATTTTTCTTCAACAAGAGCATGTGAAAAGAACATGAACTGTGCTGGGCATAGAAACACAACTTCAACAAGAGCAAAATCCATAAGCGGTGGAAGTGAATGGAAAGCAAGCAAAGATGATGCTACAATGAATGGAAATAAAGGTATTCCACCGACCGCTATCAGTTTGCACACCGATTAATTTGTAACCACATCAGTTTGACACATTCAACTAGTACTGATGGCATCCCACATATTCAGTTTAAACTGATGTAGGAGTATTTCTCAAGACATAGCCATCCAGACAGCAGCAACTTAAACAAAAATTGCAGTAGACCTTGTTTTCGTCATATATTTTTCTTTTTTAGAAAAGGAGGATGACCCCCGGCCTCTGCATCTGGGTGATGCATGAAGCCACTTTATTAATTATTCACAAATACCTTGCAAAGTAAAGTGTGAAGCCACTATCTCGGCAACATCTGGCTAATTTTTTTAAAATAATACATTTCTTTCAGTAATTTGCACAAATATTACGCCCAAAAAATTATTTTCAAAAATAATACACCGTCGGCCAGCAGCTGGCCGACTAGTCCTAGTCAGCTAGCAGCAGGCTGACTGGGTCATATCGGCCAACTGCGAGCGGACAGGTGGCTTCTCGGCCACGCGTAGGCCGACTATTGGCCAGGCCACGTCGGGCGCTGGCAGTCGGCGCGGGCTGGGTCACGAGCGACCCAGTCAACCAGCTATCGACCGATCAGCCAGCTGCTGGCCGACAGGGAGCCGGCCCCGCAGCACACGTCTCTTTCTCCTCTCCTTCTTCTTTCCCTTTCTCCCACCGCAAGCTTCTCTCTGTTCTTCCTTCCTCCTCTCTCTTACACGAACTAGCTCCAATTAATACACCAAAATGACCCGTTTTTTCGCGGATTTGGCACCGTGAATGGGTTCTACATAGTTAGGGGAGCCAAAAGAGACCTCGATCTACTAATGGGGTAGCTTGTGGTGGTCGTGGTGAGCATTTTGTTGGAGCATTTTTTCAGCGCATTGGTGGAGGTTGTGGCGGTGGTGGAGGTGGAGGTGGTGGTGGTGAAGCTGGGGCAGTGTGGTGGAGGTGAAGCTCCGGTAGTTTGGTGGAGTTTCCGACTCCAGTTCCGGTGATTGAAGGCCGCCGTTCGTCGTTCGCACGCACACAAGGGTATATTTCAACAAACATTTTTATTTTCGAAGTTGCATGCAATTATTGTTATTTGCTCCGGTAGTAATGTAAATATATTTAGGTAGTCGTGGTGAGCATTTTATTTCCCGGTACCGGTGTGCAATTATTGTTATTTGCTCTGGTAGTAACGTAAATATATTTAGGTGGTCGTGGTGAGCATTTTATTTCCTGGTTCCGGTGTGCGATTATTGTTATTTGCTCCGGTAGTAAACGTAAATATATTTAGGTGTGTCAGTAATTGGAGTTGCTCCGGTAGTAAACGTAAATATTTAGGTGTTCTTGGTGAGCATTTTAAGTTGTTGCTTAGTACTTGTATTAGTTGCTCCGTTAATATTCTGTAATATATAGCTAGCTAATATATAGACATGTCTAATATTTCTTAGTGGGGGTATATTAAGTTGTTGCTTAATACCTGCATCTCGTTGTTGAAAAAAAAAGGTGAGCCAAGATGTCTGATGTAGTGAACTTCAGATTTTGCTATGGTCTTGGTACTGTCCAAACAACTGAGATGGGAGCAGATCTGAGTGAATTTACTCATATAGATGTGCCAATGAGCGCACCTCAAACATGGTCTGTCAGTCAGTTAAAAGAATGGATTGCGGCAAGTTTAGGTCTTGATACTGAAACACACACCATCGGTGTTCATGCATTGTGGACACGGTCAAGTTCAATAATTTACTTTTATTTGAGGCCGATAGAGCGAGACTCCGAATGGGTGTGGTGGTTACAAGGTTGTGAACGAAGGGGATGCAATCCTGTTGCTTTAGTTCTTCCCGTCATGAAGGAGGTCACTGCACATGAAGGAGAGGGTGGCTACGATCCTGGTCATAGCAATGTAGGGAGGCAGTTATCTATGTCAAATGCTGGAGATGATGGTTACGAACAAGGACAGAGCAGTCAGGTAGAAGGAGGAAATGCTTATGGTTATGAACCAGGGCAGTGTAGTCAGGTAGAAGGAGGAAATGCCGATGGTGATTACAATGGCGAGGTGGACGCTGATGAGGTAGATGGGCACATGCAGGACCAGATGGAAGAAGAAGACACCGATGTTGAAAGGGGTCATGCCGATGATTCTGACGAGTCAGATGAAGAAGAAAATGCAGAGGAGGTCCCAAATCCTGCATCGTGGAATCATGACTTCTCATCTGCAATGACCGTGAATGATGGACATGATTCAGCCTGACAATATCACCCGAACAATATTGCGATGGGTGCTATGTATCCGAACAAGCAAGCCTTGAAAGATGCAATAATTAACTGGGCAATGTCCATGCAAAGGGTTTTCACAGGTCAGGTATCCAGTCAGAAATTCCTGACAATGGTATGCAAGAACGCAGATTGTCCCGCCAGGGTGCACGGCTTTCTCCCTAAGTATGGCACAAGTTGGGTGATAAGTGACTTAGTTAATCACACTTGTCTTATTCCTTGCATCCCTCAGGATCATGCCAACCTTTCATCCACGCTTATTGCTCGGTTGTTTTATGATGAGATAGTGCAGGGCAAAGCTATGGAAGTGAAGGCAGTCCAGAAAAAAGTCTTCACCAGGTTCAAGTACAGAATTTCTTATGGCAAGGCTTGGAGGGCTAAGCATGCGGCGCTTGAGAGGAGATTTGGTTCTTATTTTGATGCATATGGCTCTGTTGTCCAGCTCCTCCACACCCGGCAGCAGCGGAATCCAGGCACCTATATCGATATCCAAGACATGTTCATGCCAGAGTTCCCAACTGTGAGGGTGCTGCATCGTCTCTTCTTCTCTTTCGGTGTATGCATCGAAGCTTTCAGGCATTGCCGACCGGTGATATGTGTTGACGGTACTTTTCTCACAGGCAAGTACAAGGGTCAGATCCTGACAGCCATAGGTCAAGACGGCCAAAATCAAGTCGTCCCACTCGCATTTGCTTTTGTGGAGAGTTAGAACATTGAAAGTTTGACATGGTTCTTCAGGCAGTTGAAAATATCAGTTGTGAAGGAGAAGCCAAATGTGTGTACCCTTCATGACAGGCATGCAGGTATACTCAGTGCGATAAGGACACTGACAAACCCAGGCCCTGAGGAACAAGTTCCATGGCAGGACTTGCAGAGCCGTTGGTGCATGCGCCATCTGGGGGCTAATTTCTTCCCGCAGTTTAGAAATAAGAACCTGATGAATCTGTTCAAAAAACTCTGCAAGCAGAACCAGCTATGGAAGTACAATTTGATACGCGACAGACTTAATGTGTGCACGTAGAGACACGTGAGGGACAGGAAAGCTGCAAGAGATGCAGCGGTGAGGGCACATGTGGAAGCAGTAGATGCACAGTTGGCAACAGGAACATCGGCCGTGGAGGAGGAGCCTGTTGGGCTATGTGACCTGCCAGGCTTTGACCCACCTGGTACTAGGAGAAGGCTTGGGAGGTCGATTAAAACCTTCAAGCAGTGGATACAGCATGAGCCTCTAGAGAGGTGGTCTTTGCTACATGACACACATGGAGCACGATACAGTGTCATGACAACAAACCTCGCAGAAACATACAACTTTGTCCTCAGAGGAAACCGGGCATTGCCACTTACAGCCATCGTTGAGGGTATTTTCTATGGCACCGTCAAGTATTTCAGAGATAGACGTCAAAAAGCAGAGCAACATATCTTCAACAATCCGAATACACGGTACTGTGAAAGAGTCACGAAGTACATGTACAACAAGATGCAAAAAGCTAGATCACACACTGTAGTCGCCATCGGTAATCAAGAAAGAAGGTTTGAGGTCCGCTTAGCCAACAACAAATTCGGATGTGCAAATGAGTTGAGGATGCA